AATTTCTGTCTTGAGGTTGAAGCTAATAAACGCAACAGAACTGTAATTGCATTGTCTCTTGGAGTTCTTTGGGCTAAACCTGACAATAACCATCTTGAAGTAACCTTCAGCTTTCTCTACATCTATATAAATTCTACACCTCACATCCAAATTATATGTGAAATGTTTAATATGTGCATGTTGTTATATCTGTGCCATATTGATCACATTCTAGTTCAAAAATGGTGATGCCCTCAAAATAAGATCATGCCATGTTTATCTGCAGCAGGTAGACAAACTATAGTTATGTTTGGTTTTAAAATCATAGAATCACATTAACCTCTATTAGAAAATGTGCACCCATCAGATTAATCAAATTAAATGCAGATAAATACTGTATTGGGATTATTTCTGGAATTCAAAATATTGGCTTTATGCAAACAATTTCTATGGATGCTTTTTTAAAAATTTCCCAGGACTGCAATGCATGTTGTGTCCTCCTGTCAATTTTCTTAGTTCTAATATTATTTAGAATTGTTCTAGAGATTCATTTTCAAGTATATTTTTGGATAAAGAACTTTTACCCTGAGTAACTTTTGACTGTGGCAGGAACAAACCACAAACATTTTCAGGAACAGCTTCCACTATATATTATATAAACTTCAGATAAAACTGTTTGTACAAATATCTAGATTTATCAATTGGATCATTCTTTCATACCTGATGACTATGTCATAAAGCTCAGCAATTCTGCAAGGTGTTTTATTATAGAATAAAACAACATTTAAAAGTTGGATTCTTTTTCTTTACAGCTGTTTTTCTGCTAAACATCACCAACCTTTATATCCCTGCAAAATACACTAAAGTTGACTTCGTATATGATAATAGCTGTCAGAATACTGTATACGGTTTATTGGAAATTACATACAATTTCATATTTAGAAGAATGGCAAATTATGCATTAGCCTCAAAAATAACCCATTTTCAAAAGTTTAATACAGAATTTAATTCAGCTGGTAACCATTTATGGATTGTAATTCTACAAATGGACCTGTACTACATACAAAGTTTGGGTTTCTCTTAACATAAGGATTTGTTAAATAAGGGCAAGATTTCTAGATTAGATACAAACTTCTGTAATTTTTTTATTCTAACTTGTGATTCATATTATGATGGTCACCTCTATTAATTATTATTGAATTGGTTTAAATAATGGTTTTAAGTTTTAAACTGATACAGGATATTGAATTATAATATGCTGTACTAATCTAATGTTTTTATTCTATTTTATACAGTTTGTAACTCTCTTTTTTCTTTCTGTTTTTCCTCTTAGATGTGTTTTAAATATCTTCTAAAACAAACAAATAACTGGACTGATCAAAAATGGCACCTAAAACGGAACTGAGAAGAAGGGGGATTTTTCTTCCACTTTAGCTAATAATCCTTCAATTACTAATTTCCTAATTCAAGATGCGGTCTCTCAAAAATGTAAAATAGCTGTCAGAAATCAACTGATTTAAAGTGTGAATATCTTGTTCAGCCCAAACATTCCAATAAAACATCTTCCCCGCTATTTTCAAATTTGCACCATTCTACAACGTCAATTTATCAAATAGTTTTCAAAGCTGGCAACCAAGATTCCAGTTGACTTACCTACAATATATCCTTGGCAAATATACAATTGAAACATGTACTGACATTGGCCCAGATGCTCTAACAGCCTCCAAGATTCCTGCAATTTTAGCTTCCTTGAAATAGGCTGCACTCGAATGGAAACCAACAATTCAATTTTGTAAGATATTAAAAAGTGAAATGAAAATCAGTTGTATATATCTGAATTGGGGAATGAAGAATTGGAATATCCAATTTTGGAAAATCAGTGAGTCTAGGTGTTTAAAATGTAAAATACACTTATTATATAAAATGAAATTAATTCATCAGAAAATATTATTTTATGTTTATTGGAGTCTCAAAGAATAAAAGGGGAATGGACATCAGATTTTTTAAAATTTGCAGTATAAGAAACATGAAGGTTCTTTAACTCATATGATTTTGTCTTGTGCTGTTATACCCCTGTTCTGATTTCAAATTACTACATATGTTAATTTGGGGGGAAAATATTAGTTAAGGATCTTAATGTGATGTTGAACCATATTCCTAAAACCTGGAATTTGTTATTTCATGAAAAGCTTTGGCTCTGTCAAGCCTGGGATAAAGAAAAGAGGATAATTCTACCTAACTGGAAAGAAACATATTCCCCTGATTGAAGGAATGGATCCAGGATATGAATTTGTTGTCTACTTTAGAAAAGCCTCTGTGTTCTAAAAATGAGATGAAAAATTATGTTGCTATAGGCTCTATATTTAATGATAAGCTTAATTATTTGATTAATTTTATATAGCTATTTATAGTTAATGTTTTCTTCATTAATCACTATCCTTTTTCTTTGTTGGTAATGTAGAATTTATTATTATTATTCAATTATTTTAATTTTTAAAAAATTAAAATTACTAATTCCCTAACTGCTGGCTTATAACAGGTGATGCTCTTACCCATTTAGCTTGGTACTCCCTACTCTGGCTGGCAACATCCATGAACACTGCAAGTTGAAGTGTTTTACAACACCCATTGTCTATTATGTGATCCTTGCAACTGGAGAACAAATGTGATATATCTTGCATACAAAGCATATGCCCTATCTCTGCACTAAGATTCCTAAGGTTATCCTATAACAGGTAATAACTATGAAGAATATTTAAGGAGAAACATGCAAATTTGTCTTTAATGTAACTAATTTAATATAGATAACAAAAACAACACATGTAAACACAGGAAAGGAGCTTGTAACAGCAAATAATAATTGCAACAAGCAATGTCCTTTTGGTCAATAAAAAGACAGAAATCCTAATTAGGAAAATGCTTCTTACACATTTTTTTTTTCAAAAATGCTGAAAATGATATCCTTTACCTACAATTCTGATGGCATCTTTCACAGATTCTGTGAATTTCAGATGAGAAATCTCTACATCTTCCCACATGTCGTCTATATTGCCAGCAAAGGCACTGGCCCAAACTCCTGTAATAGAAGTGAAACAAAGTGATTTTTCAGGCCTGTAGGAACTGGCAGTACTCTTTCTGAGGATACAACTGAACATCATGTATGGATTTCTGTTATCACCAGTTTGTGCACTTTCCCAGGCCTGCTCACTGCCTTCAGTGAAGTCAAAAGGCAGCAAAGACAGATACTCAGTAATGATATCAAGACACAGCTACTATATTAGTCTGAGGGGGCACTCTCTTGGCAGGTTCAGAGTTTATAAAAACTTTAAGCCACAGGATGAGGCAAAATGATAAGATTTCCTTTGATTAGTTAATACCTTGCTGTAAGTTTTCATATTGTGGAATATTTAGGGTTTGCACCTCTTCACATTTGAGTATAAGAAAACCATAATACAGACTAACAGGTAAGGCCATGCTACACAATACTCTTGACAAGATAGATCTATTATCAGACAACTGACTTCTGACCTCACAATTAAAAGCAAGATGAACACTATTATTTGACATAAAGAAATGGATCAAGTATATGTTGTCTGCACAATTTCATTACACTTAATAACTGTGCATTGAATAACACTTTGCATCAAAACCTTAGCTATAATACATTTGTCAATCATAGACTTTTGATACTTCAAACTGTGGAGTATGGATTGGACACCTCCACGAGCACTTTGCACCAATTCAAATTCAGCTTCAGACTCCTCTGATCAGACAACACTCTCTTATTTCAAGAATTGAATCAACTTACTTCTGTCTGAAACGAGTGCAAAACTGATATTTGGGGGGGGGGTAATGCTGGAGCTTGTGGGCAGTCTGAATTCCCACTGGTGAAAACTCTTGCCTCTTCCTACCTCCCAGGTCAAGCAGGCCATTCCATTTCAAGGCAGTAGCTTGAAAATGGGCCTTGAACATCTGCTTGTTCTCTGCTGAAGATAAGGGGAAAACAGACTGAATTTCTGCCAGTTTCCCTGCTAACATTTCTTGGGTATGGGAAGAGTTGCAAGAATTTGCAAGCAATCAAAACAGCCCAGATCACCCTAACAGCATTTTAAGCACAGTTCTTGGGACTCATCTGCACTGTGAAGACTTATCTCTCCCTCTACCCCACTCCAAACACTAACAGCAACATGCAGCCATGGCTAGAAATATTGGGAAAAGCAGATGGCTGGAAAATTGCTAATATGCTATCATTATATCTTTTGCTTTTATATGCTTTAAATGTTTTCATCTGCTAGTAATGGTAGCAAGGCAGCATGGATGTTTCATTTTTTTTTCAAATCACCATTCCTTTTATAGTTTCCCATGTGGCAATATACAGTAAGTCATTTCAGTTGTGCCCTTGTTACCTCATGGCTGGAGTATAGCATGGGGCTCTACAGGGGCCCACCCTTAAAGACCATCTGGAAGCTTCAGCTGGTACAGCAGGGGACAGCTTGGGTAGTTAAGTAGAGCGCCTCTATATTCTCCAGTGTAATACCACTACTACAGGAACTGCATTGGCTTAGCTTACAGGAGCAGTTCAAAGTGCTGGTTATCATATTTAAAGCCCTACACAGCTACATGACTACCTTTAAAGCTACTTTCTGTGCACTGAGTCAATCTACAGTATTTGGTAAGAACAGGGAAAGGAGGCTTGTTAATGGTTCCCCCACCTAAGGAATTCCAGCAGACCCCCAGAGTTGAGCCTCCTAAATGACAGCCCCTTTTCTGTGGAATATCTTGCCCTTGGATATCCACATCATCTCCTCCCTATGTGATCTTCATTCTGAAGACCTGTAAAGACATGACTCTTCAGAAAAGTGTTGGGGGACAATGAGGATTAACCTATCACCCGTTGGATGGTGCAGCTAATGGATGTTGCTGTTATATTGTGATGACCGTTGTTCTTAATCTTCTTATTGCTTGAGTTAAACCTCCAGGAATTAAGCAACATAGAAGCTGAAATAAATAAATAAGTAGGGAGGTTGCAATTTATCTTATATCCTTTTTTTCAAGCAATAGTGGAAAGGAGATTTCTATTTCCCCATGACCCACAGTGGTTCAGAAGGCAGAGTGCTGATGTTATTTGAACCCATCTGTTGGATATGGTAATCGTAGCATGTGCCCTGAGTTTCTAGATCAGCAGTGATAAAGACCACTGCTGGTCACTTTCATTTAGGAGAAGATTGGGGAGTTGAAGGATTGTGGAATTCATCTCCTTTCATACAGGGCTTTTTCAAAAATCATTTCATATATTCATTCATTTATAAAATTTCTAACCCATTTTTCATTAATAAAAGAACCTCAAAAGGAGATGTAGCAAATTAAAATAGTTTACAATAAATTTAAACAATTTATAATAAATACAATCCATATAAACAAGATATTATGTTGGTAACATTTTTTTCAGTTGGTTAGTAAAAATAGCTACTTCATCACCAGGTTATACATCTGCTCTTACCTTGGAGGAAACAGATTCTGGGCTCCTCATGTTTCTCAAGCAATAATCCCATGAAATATTTACTGCCATAGTCTTCCATGCGTATAAAAGCCCCATATTTATGAATACCAAATTCATATGGTGTATATTCAACCCATTCTATGGAAAAGAATGAAAGAACATGCTCCTACTTAAATACATGATTATTTTCTTCCCCAAGTTCATATATATCTTTTTTAGATTTATATCCCACCTTTTGTTCAGGAGCTCAAGGCAGTACACCTGGTACTCCCGCCTCCCATTTTGCCTACAGCAACAACTTCAAGAACATCTTTTTGCCTCTGATTTCATTTCCACCTCTGGTTTGTCCAGCTGGAGAAAACTGACCTTTTTACCCACCATTTACTCATTGTTCATCAGTAAAAGTCCTAGTTTCAGTGTACATTTCACTTTAGTTACCTTGCAACCCAACTTCAGTCCTGTCCTCATACCTGTAAATTCACTGGTTTTAATATTCACCCTCACATTTTGAGCTGCATAAATAGGATAGGGATTTTGTCCCCTTATGACTGCTTCCTGTTGGTCAGAGAGCTTCGTTGGGTCCTTCTGGGTAGGGTAAAGAAAAAATCACAGTCAGTTAATGTAGTCTTACGTTTCCCAAGTGAAATTCTTAATGACTTAATACTCTGATATGCCTTCCTCAATCTGGCTCCCTTCTGATAATTATGGAAGTTTCAGTCCAACACATTAGGGCAGTGTTTCACAACCTTGGCAACTTTAAGATGTGTGGACTTCAAATCCTGCTAGTTGGGGAATTCTGGGAGTTGAAGTCCACTCATCTTAGAGTTCCCAAGGCTGAGGAATACTGCATTAGGGGATGCTAAGAATGAATAATAACACCTAGCTAGAAATGAATAAATAAGTACCAATTAAACAAACACTAGTTACTGTTAAGTATTAAGAATCACATTACTAGACTAAAAGTTAATCAGTGGCTCTGCCCATTTAAATGACCTATATTAAAGTCTTCATCTTTAATAGCAACTCCCACCAGTGTCTGAGATGTACCATCCCCATAGAAAATAACAATTGTTAATATTTTATATTTTGGTCATATAGTTTATTGGAAAGCTAATGTTCTCAGCCATCATAACCTTCAAATGTCACAGAAAGAGTCCATCAATCCTATAAAGGATTAACCACTATAGAATTAAACTTTAAACACCATCCTATTAGCAATGCACAATGACATATTTTCCATTTGTTTTTCTCTGCAATTTGGGGCACATTCAAAAAGTATTATTCAATAAAGAAATTATAATCCATTATAATTATTCCATTTATAAGAATATTTTAGTAATTTTTTTTTTATCCATAGTGCCTTCAAGTCATTGGCGACACCTGCCAACTACCTGGACTAGTCTCTGCAGTTTTCTTGGCAAGATTTTCAGAAGTGATTTGCCATTGCCTTCTTCCTAGGGCTGAGAGAGAATGACTGGCCCGAGGTCCCCCAGCTGGCTTTGTGCCTAAGGTGGGACTAGAACTCACAGTCTCCCTGTTTCCTAGCCTGGTGCCTTAACCACTACACCAAGCTGGCTCTCTTAGTGATAATACATTTTAGTTATTACTGGAGTATTTTATTTGTTTCTAGTCTTAAAGCTAGAAACAATCTACCCCTTAATAATGTAACTCTTCTTTCACAAATTTTAGGGTGCTCATTTTTACCTTGTTGTTTAGGATATACTCTATGATAAGGCCCCATAAATCCACAAGAGTGACTTTCCTTCCTGCTTTTTCCAAGGCAATTAACTCCTGAAAGTAATATGCCAGTTGTTCAGCAGAAAATGCCCCAACTTTTCCACTTGTCACAATTTTCTGAGCATTGTCAATTGCATTCTGGAGATTTTTTTGGGACCAGTAAGCATCTTTGTAGAGCATAGACATACACCTACCAAAATCATAATTGTGAATTTTAGAAAATAAACATTAAAATAAGAGATGGAATATCCACAAATAACTCCAATACTTAATAGGCACTAAGTGAATTGCCTGAATATCAGGCATATTTTCTCTTGCACAACATATTCCATTAATACTTGAGTATGGTCACAATACCACATCTTTGATGTTGGTGTTGTACTGCAAGAAATAGAAATGTACTGTATTAGAGAAAGAATTGGTTTAGGATAAATTCTAAACTCATTTAGGCCAATATAAAAGAAAGGAGTGGGATTTAAACCTGTTATGATAAAAAGTTCTTTTAAATCAAAATACTGTCACTAAATTCCAGAGAAGATCAAAATACTGTATTTATTGGCATATAACACGCACTTTTTTCCCTAAAATTTGGGGCTGAAATCCTAGCTGTGTGTTATACGATATGCCCTGCAGCTTCTCACCTCAAGGGGCAGGGCTGGAAAAGCAAAGCACCGGCAGCCAGGAGAGCATTGCTTTTTTGGCAGCCACGGCAACCCAGCACTGCCACTCCAGATGGCCACAGGGGGAGGCACGGAGCCCGCGGCCCACTGCGTAACACCCCCCTGGCCGCCCACCAAATGCTGCACCCAACCCCTCTCGGATTGCCCCAGAACCGGCGAGTGCAGAAAACAGCCTCTCCTCTGGCTCCCCGCAGCCCAGGTGGGGCGCCTCCCGCCACACCAAGCCTCTGACCCTACGGATCTGCTCTTTCCACTTTGCTCTGACGCACCAAGTGCTAGAGAACTAGGGTTCCTGGACTCTCCCATGCTCCCAACAGCGCAGGGCAGCCTTCGGAGGAGCGTCGATCCCCTCACCGGGGTGGTGCGGAGCCGTGCTGCACAGGGCGCCCACCTCTCCAGACTGCGCGGTCCCTCAGCCCAGGCAAAGTCAGAGGCTCGGTGTGGTGGGAAGCACCCCACTTTGCCCTGGAGCATCTGGCTTTCCTGTTCAAAGCCCGTGTTTCCTCTGCCGTCGGTGAGACACACACACAGACACACACCCCAGCACTTAACTCTTTCTCCTCCAGGTGCAGCACACTTGGGACAGTGGCTGGTTTGCAAAGTCAGAGGCCCGGGGAATGAGTGGTGCATGGCTCCCTGCCTGCCCCATTTTAGCAAACCGAGCAGCCCTGCGGATCTGCTCTTTGTGCTTTGCTCTGACACGGTCCCCAGACTCTCCCATGCACCCAATGGCGTGGTTGAGCCCTCAGGGGAGGGGGCCGTCCCTCCACACCAAAGTTTCTCCTGACAGGAAGGAGGGAGGAGCGGGTGAGGCCATGGGGAGCCAGAGGAGAGGCTGCATCTTCCACACTCACCGGTCCTGGGGAGATCTGAGAGGTCGGGCGCAGCTCTCAGAGGGCAGCCAAGGGGAGTGTTGCGCAGCGTGCCGGAGGCCCCACACCTCCCCCTGCAGCCATCTGGAGCGGCAGCGTTGGGTTTCAGTGGCTGCCAAAAAAGAAATGCTCTCCTGGCAGCCAGCGCAGGTGATGTTACTAAAGAGTGCAAACAGAGGAGGCATACCCTAGTAATAAATTACTGTACCCCCCAGTCCACTTGGACCACCACGGATTTTTAGCCCCTACTGGTCCACCAGAGATCTTACCTGCCTGCCTGCTGCAGACAGGTAAGCACTCAGGGAGGGCTTAAGTCCCAGTA